CATGGCTTAGTGCGAATGTGTGTTTGCTGAGGAATCCCTGTACTTTGGAGCAGATTCTAAAGCAAGTTTTTCAGACTTGGCCACTTTAAGAGACATGGACTTCAACTCCCAGAATTCATCAGCCAGCCATGCTGGCTGGGGAATTCTGGGAGTTGAAATCCACATCTCTTAAAGTGGCCAAGTTAGGTTCATATAATGAGGAAACTCATTTTGCTTCTGCCTGGAGTTTGATTACAGTTTTTGCACATAATTCCAGGTTCCAAATTCCTTCATAAGAAACATTCAGCTGTAGGTATCAAACTATATCAGGAAAACTCCAAACGTTGGAATATATTCTCCAATGTGCAGTCATGTTAGCCTTGACCTAAATTACATTTCCTTGCTAGGGAAGCAATGGTTAGATTCCTGCAGTTTGGCAGTGACCTTAAATTTGTTCAGCTGCAGCTTGCATCATTACATTCTGTTACTTTTAGTAGCTGTCTAGATGTACGCTTTTTTTGTTCATCTTCTTGGTATTTGTAAAGAAAGGCAATTGGCAAACTTGTTATCAGACCGAATGGTATCATATTTAATTATTCTTTGGTGCCTTTCTTCAGATTGCATATGAGAGCCAGTGTAAAAATTGGGGTTTGATACCAATACAGTCAGCTGCATTACTTGAAAACTAGTTGGTAGATTGTCCTGGCTTAGCTTTAAAAAAAAAAAAAAAAGGCACCCATCAAAGCTGCTGAAAGAGGAAGACTTAATCAGTGTATGATTTTTGTAGTTTCTCCTGGCTTTATATGTTTGAATGGCTGTTCAATAGCTGTTGAATAGCTAAACTTAAATTGTTCTTGTTAATATCAAGTGACACTATTTTATATGTCTTGATCCTATTGGACTGGGGTGGTGGTGGTGTTAGCGGTAGTGGAGATCAGCTGACTGCTCTCCCAAAATTTTGGTGCTTGGCAGCTAACAACATTTTTAAAATAAGTGGAAACAGTCTTTAGAAAATCTGAGGAATGGTCATGAGCAGTGTAGTAGTCAGGAAGCCAGGAAAATAACTCATGCCATTTGCTCTATTTGCCAATAAGCTTGTCCCAATTCAGAGTGCTAGTTTTAATTTCTAAAGTGCTACTTTTAATTTCTAAAACCCCAATCACTTCAGGTCATCTGCTTTTATTTGTAGAGTTCTGCTTGCGCCATTAAGATCTGCAGAAAAAAGAGTCTTCGGCACCCCAAATATCATTCTGGCTTGTCTCTGCTTGCAGCTTCTTGAGGCAATAGCTGCAATTAAAAAACTAACAAATAAACTGGAAAATTTGTGTTTAATGTAGCACATTGTAGTTGTTCACCCATAACCTTAATCCACAATGATTTGCTGACTACTACCCTTTGTCTTAGTGTGATGTGCTAGCCCATTCCAAGAAGGAAACTAGGATTTGGAAACCACCCTGGACGTTAAGTCCAAAACCAAGAAACCACATTATAGGAGTTAGTAATATGGGTGAACCACTGTGACTACTAGTGGCTTCCTTCCAGTTGGTCTTGGCCTGGCCCCATCGCAATGAGCTTTCAAGCAGGCCAGAATTGCTTGCTTACCTTGATCTTGTTTGTGGAACAGTGGAGCCAGTGACCCAGAAGAGATGGGCTCTTCTTTCTTAGTTGTGTTCAAGCAGAGACTGGGCAGCCATATGTTGGGGCTGTTTTCATTTAAGATCCACTGAGTGGAGGGGGCTGGACTTGAGTTGCCTCTTTCAGTTCTAGGAATCTGTTCTATGATTTGTAGTTAGTTTGGACTTTATATGGTTGTCAATGGGTATCTGGTATTAGCTAGTTTAAACTGTTAGTTTATTATAGTTTTTATCAGTCCCTCCTTATCTCTTTACAGCATGCCATCTAAGGCAGGGTTTTACTATAACAGACAGATCTTACATCTTTTAAATAAAATAAATCACTATGTCTAGGATAGTACAGTTAGTCCTCAGGTTACGACCACTTGTTCAGCGACTGTTCAGAGTTTACAAGGGGGACTACCAACTGGTCCTCGGAGTTCCAGCCATTGCAATGTCCCCACGGTCACATGATTGCAATCTGCCCAGCTCATGATTACAACATCACAGCGAGCTGCGGTCACATGATCGCAATTTCTGATGTTCCCTGTCAGCTTCCCACAAGTGAAGTCAATGGGGAAGCTGGCAGGAAGTCAGAAGCTGCTCCTGCTACTTTTTCGCCTGCCGGCTCTTCGTAGCACCCACCCGCAGTGCCCTGCCCATCCTCCCTACTGCTGGCTTGCAGCTGCCTCCTGCGACACCTATGTACCTGCCCACAGTTCTGGGCACTTGCCCACAACACCCCCCTCCCCCATGGCACCTGCAAGTCTGCTTGCCTGGGATTCCCACCTCTTCATGCTTAATGACCCACATGATCTTGGGGTTATGATGGCAACCAAGATAGATATTGCTAAGCAATGTGGTCACATGACATCGCACTTTAGGACTGCATCATTTAGCGATGGAAATTTAGGTCCAATTGCTGTCGTAACCACAGGACTACCTGTAAAATTTTTAATATAATCTTATTGAAAGTTTTAAAAACAAGAATGAAAATTAATACAAATTAAAATAAAGGAAGAAGGAAAAAGAAAAAGGAAGAAATAAAGGAGAAAGCTCAAGTAAAAAAGGTAGAAGAAAAATAGAAAAGAAAGAAAAAATATATAAAGAAGTGGCTTCTGATCTTCTTTACAGCAGTTATAAGTACAATTGTAGATTTACTTCGTTCTCTAAAGTTACGTTGTGACTCTCTTCTTTCTATAATCTATTCTATCTAATGGTCAAAACCATAGATCATAAGTTCATTTTTTTGTTTTACACAAAAAGTCCATAAGGGGTTTCTAGTCAGCAATAAACATAGGTATTTTTTTTCTCTAATCAAACAGGTCAATTTTGCTATTTCAGCAAAATTCTGTCATCTTTACCAACCATTCCTCCATTGTAGGTATTGCCAAATCCTTCCATCTTTGCGTGCACAATAATCTTGCTGCAGTTATCATGTATAAAAACAAAGTTCCATGACTCTTTTCCAACTGTTTATCCATTAGTCCCAAGAAGAAAAGTTCTGATTTCAGTTTATATTAATCTTTAAAATCCTCTGAATCAGTGTATGCATTTGAACCCAAAATCTTCTAGCGTTTTTGCATGTTCACCAAGCATGGTAAAATGACCCTTCTTGTTGCTCACATTTCCAACATAGATTTGTAGTACCTTTATACGTTCTAGATAATTTTTCTGGTGTAAAATACCAATGGTACAGGTAGTCCCCAGTTTAAGAACAAGTTCCATTTCCAAGGTGTGTCCTTAAGTCGAATTTGTATGTAAGCTGGAATAGTATTATTGTATAATACTGTATAAGTAGTATTGTATATTTAATCAAATCATTGTGTATTTAACTTGAATTTTGCTACAGTAGGTGCCGTTCTTAACTATGGGTTGTCCGTAAACTGGGCATTCTTAACCTGTGGACTACCTGTACATCATTTTATAAAAGTTCTCTTTAAGATTATAACATAATGTAAATTTCAATCCTTTCAACCACGTATTTCCCATTGTTCCATCTGTATATTATAACCAAAAATTTTAGCCCACTTTATCATACATGCATTTATTCTTCTGTTTCAAATTTCAATAAAAGTTTATACTTTTTAGCAATTACACATTTATCATTTGTACACAATTCCATTTCAAAGTCAGAATATTCAATACCATAAATTATTTTGACTACTTTGAATCTTTCTGATAACTGTAAATAGGAAAACCATTGACAATTATGTCCCTCTGCCACCAGTTCTTCTCTTGGCAGGATTCTAGTATCTCATGGTAAGTTAACCATTTGTGTTTGCCTCTTACTTTTCATCTATAAAATGCTTCCTGTGCTGAAAGCCACAAAGATGTTCTTGGGCACAACCTGGATTTGTATCTATTTCATATTCTCGATATGGCATGTCTAACATAACGATTTTTAAAATCTACATTAACTTTAACTTTATCATACCACAAATGTCCATGCCACCCCGATCTCAGGTCATGGCTTTTTCACTCTTAGAAGTCTTCTATTTCTCAGCAACATCCACTCTTTCATTAAAATTCTTTTAATTTTCCCATTAATGTCTCTATTCCCTTTAGTGGATTCTCCAGAATCAACATCAAGTCATCAGCAAATGTCCTTAACTTATAAGTTTCTTTTTTAATCTTCACTCCCACAATTCTCTCATCTTGTCTTATATCACTATTCAATATTTCAAGAACTAAAATAAACAGGAGAAGAGACAACGGGCATCCCTGTCTTGTCCCTTTTTGTCTCTCACAGGGTTTTGTTAAATCTCCATTGACAATTATTTGTGCTTTCTGTGAAATGTAGATCAATCTTACCCATTAATAAAATTCTCTCCAAAATTCATATCTTCCAAAACTTTAAACAAGCAGTCTTAGTTCAAAATGTCAAAGGCCTTCTCTGCATCTAAGAAAATCAACACGGCTTGTTTTTCATTATGTTGCTCCAAGTATTCCAAAATGTCCAACATGTTTCTTATATTATCCTTTAACTGTCTTTTTTAGGTAAAAACCCACATGGATCCTCATCAATAAATTTTTGCAAAATTATTTTCTACCGCTACCTGTACCATGTTTGTGGGGTGCTGGCCTGACACAGAATTTCTTGTCTTTTCGGCTTGTTTTTCATTATGTTGCTCCAAGTATTCCAAAATGTCCAACATGTTTCTTATATTATCCTTTAACTGTCTTTTTTAGGTAAAAACCCACATGGATCCTCATCAATAAATTTTTGCAAAATTATTTTCGACCGCTACCTGTACCATGTTTGTGGGGTGCTGGCCTGACACAGAATTTCTTGTCTTTTCTGTCTTTGAGATCACAGTGCTGAGGAAATCATTGTCAGCTGTTAGCAATGGAAGAGGGTTTGTTGAAATACTCATTAAAAACTTTGACATCTTTTGTGTTTTTTAGCTCCAGAACCTGGGTGTTAACCCAGCCAACATTGGCTTCAGTACTCTGACCATGGAATCTGACAAATTCATCTGCATACGAGAGAAAGTTGGAGAGCAGGCTCAGGTGGTCATCATCGATATGAACGACCCTAGCAATCCGATCCGCCGGCCAATTTCGGCTGATAGTGCCATCATGAATCCTGCTAGCAAGGTTATTGCCCTCAAAGGTATGGAAAATGTTTTCCAGCTTATTTCCTGTTTTATGATTCAAAGACCTGGATTTTAATGTGTTCAAGGTTCCTTATTTTTTGCTGTCCAAAGTGAACCACAGTTGCTAGTGAAATAAATGTAATTTTTCGCTTCCTCCTCTTTATGGCAATGAAAGGCCGTGGTTTGTCCAGTGTTTGCAACAAAAATTGGGGGAAAACTAGTGGGGTTGATTTGTTCACAAGCATTTTATAGTCTCAGCTTTATCATATCTTAAAATGTGCACTTTTAATCTGTGGCAATTCAAAAGTGTGCTATCCTTTTTTAAAAACAACCATGGAGGTTTTGTTAGAACATTTCAGAACAAGGATGTTAATACTTCCTGCAAAACAATGACATTTATTTTCCCATGGCATGCACAAATTTCCCACCCATATTATATGCCAAATGCCTCCTGATGTAAATCATGTAAGGGTAAGTCAAAACTAGGTTATAGTTCCCCTTGCACAACTATAATTATATTCTACCTAGGCCTCTTACGGTCAGAACACAAGTCCCAACTTGAACCAATCTTTGTAATAGATGCTAAATGTCTAAGTTATACCAGTCTTTTTTTCCCCTGAAGCACAGCAAATTTGCCTTCCGTAATGTCCACTTATTGCCACGTTTTTCCCCCATGGTGGATAAACTAAGCTCTCAACTGTCTCATTACAGCAGCGTCCTCTTTTCTGATGGCTTTAATGTTTTATCACTATTTTTGTCACACTTCCTAATGCTTTCTTGTGTGTGCAGATGGTGAGTTACCTCCGTTTCAGATTGTATTTGTGTTTGTCCTGTTTTATGAAAAGAGAATGCAAAAGGCTTACCAGATTAAAGGCTTAAAAGTGAGCATGGTTGAATAATTAAGGCAGAGTAAACAAGGACTACAGATGTGCAAAACTCAGTGATACAGGAATCGGGTGTTCTGGGATTCTCCAGAACATCTCCTGAATTAGTAAGTTCTGTACATCCCTAACAAGGATCTATATTCTGACATGTGCAACATTGTTTTCCGTGCTCAATAACAATTGGGGGGAAAAATCCATACCATTCATCCAGGTTGAATGCTAGAACCTACAAGCATCTCTGCTTGGGTATGCGTCATGCTTTTTATAAACAGGACAGAGACTTACAATATCATATCTGGCTGTATATTGCTTTTTGTGTATTCTGTATATAATGGGGGGGGGAGGTTGAAATGAAGCCATTCAGGCTTTCAAACAAAGAATAATGAGTCTTAGCCTATTTTTTATTTGATTTATATCCCGCCTTTCATTCAGGATTCAAGACAGCTTATGTAGTGCTCCCTCCTCTTAGTGCTCCCCTCCTAAAATCCATGATTTTTTTTTTTTTAAAGACCAGTCTAACCTGCTCTTTAAAGGATAACCATCTGAATATAGAATCTATAACTTCTGGTGGGCAAATGTGACCTTAGCCTTTAACCCTCAAATTTAGTGGTTAATAGCTTTGAAAGTCTTTGCCTGCATAGTTTCAGTGCTTTGTGTTCCTTTTGGATTAAAGATGGTGCAGTCATGTGGGGCTGGTAGCGTCCTTGGAAGTATATGTAGTTCAGTCTCTCTCTCTCAGTCCTCCCTAAGCTTTTTAACCTGTTCTCCCCCAACGTGTTTGTTTCTGGCCTGCCGTGCCTTCACCTATTCCTCTCTTCCACGAATATCTTTATGTAGAAGTATATTCTCTTCCTGGTGTTTGTCCTTTAAACAACATCGTCAACATTTCACAGAGATCTACGTGTCAGGGAGTAATTTCATGGGGTCCTGCTTATTTGTATTTTATTCCTTCTATATCCTGTATTTCCTCAAAGGTCTTCAGAGGAAGACCCAAAGGGCAGATCTCATTTTATTCTTACAGCAGCCCTGTGTGGCAGATTAGACAGGGATCTGGCAGGTATTATACCAAAGGCCATTTCCTGAGCTGAATGACCATAGAGGAATTCAGACTCACCTTTTCCTGGTCTGTGTTCCAGCACTCATCAACTAAAGCACTCCAATGTCGTATGGAAAGGACTTTGAAAGTAGTGGTCCATGATCCATGTTGAACATTCACTCCTTTTTAATTCTTGGGGTATTCCTCTTTGTGACCTGCAACCCCAGTCTACCCAGTTGTAATTGTATTCTCTCATCTTTCTAACCCCTGTGTTTGCTGTGTGTTTAGTCTGTAGTATGCAACAGCAACAACATCTAAGAGCAATGGTTTGTTTGAAGTTAAACTAACAACCCATCTAAGAAAGTGCCCACTTTGTGTCTACAAGAATAGGACACGGCTGGTTGTCCCCATACTTATACTAGATGCAGACATTAATGTGTGTGTTGCACTAATGTTGTATGTCTTGATATACTTTATCTTCTCAAGCAAGAAGTGAAATCAGTTGCTTGGGTTAAGGATGAGTAACTTTGCATGAATGTTGAGCATCATGAAAAAAAACATGTGTGCTGTAACTGGCTCTAAGGCCACGATCAGTTCAGCCCTTGGTTCTCTTAGGACTCGTGTAGGATAGAAGTGGCATTTGACAAGTTGGCCATTTTTACTGTCAAATACCGTGCATGACCCTTTCGCTGGGTTAGGATTTGGATGTCAGATAATATACGCAGGCTTAAATATCTGTAGGTCTTTAAGCGACGGATCATTACAAGTAACTTTGGTCAATTAATCCGTACTCATACCTTTAGCTGGGAAGACCCTTCAGATTTTTAATATCGAGATGAAGAGCAAAATGAAGGCTCATACCATGACGGATGATGTCACCTTCTGGAAGTGGATTTCCCTGAACACTGTTGCACTGGTCACTGACAATGCTGTGTACCACTGGAGCATGGAAGGAGAGTCTCAGCCAGTCAAAATGTTTGATCGTCATTCCAGTCTCGCGGGTTGCCAGATTATCAATTACCGTACTGATGCAAAGCAGAAGTGGCTGCTTTTGACTGGTATATCTGCACAGGTAATGTTTTAATATAGTGATATAGCCTAATGGGTTGGAGCACTGCTTTAATTAGAACTGGGATCTGTGCTATAGGACATGGGAGAAGATGGTTACTTTCTCACATCTTGTGTGAAAATAGGCAAAAGATCCCTCTAGGACCCTTGTAGCAAAATTGGGATCTTTGTATCTAAGGCAAGTCCGTGACCATTCTCCCGCAGCCCATGCAACCTTGATCTCTTGGCAGAGCATTGGCAAAGCCTCAACAGCTAATCTTTTGTAACGGAAGGAACCCTGCTAAACTTCACTCTGAAGTTTTGTTAGTTACATGAGGAGACACATCCTGCAAAAGCAGAATTTGATTGGGACTAATCAAAGAGAAACATTTCTGATTTTCACTGTATGCAGTGGCTGCTGGTTAAAAAGCTCCTTGGTGTAACCCCAGGCTTAAAACACAGGTTTCAACCTCTGCTTTTGGAGACCCCTCCAAGGGCCAAAATTATTTTTTATTATTATTTTTTATTTTTATTTTTATTTTTTTGTTTTTATATACGGTATGACCCAAATCTCAGAAGGTTATCAACTCTCATAAAGTTTTGGCATCCTCAAGACATCTGGTAATGTAATGAGATTTGGGCTGTTTTAATGTATTGAAGATGGGTTTTTATTTTCATAGTGGGGGTTCACAATTACCAGAGGAAGGATGGTCACACGTGTTGTGGTGGCCTCAGTTGCTGCACTGCTGACTTTTGCCTTGTGTGGCGGTCTTCAACACTTTCGGTGTTATCTGTCTCTGTCAATGCATATATGCATTAAAAAAAGCCGGGAATCACTAGTGCAACCAAGTGAACATCGGACCATTTGTTATCTAGGAGTGGATTTAAGTATAGTTCAGCTTGTGACCTGTGAATAAAGAAATTGTCACTTTTTTCCTTCCATTATTCTCTTTCACGTTCCAAAATTGTAAGCCCATGAAAGTCATAATGTAAACCCTAAAGTAGCTTTAATACAGTTTTTCAAAACTTAACCCTTCTCCCAAAGCAAGGGAAATCATTAACATACTAGCCTTTTAAAATTTTTACTAAATTTGCAGTTTGTTCAGAGAAGTTTGATTACTGGGTAGATTGGATATGGAATGAATATTGTGCGAAGACAGCCCCCTGTGCCACACTCCTCATAGCCCTTATCCTTCCAAAGCAGCGTGGCCCCCAGCCATTGGAAATGTGTTTGGCCCCCACTCACTGGAATCAAGTAACGACCAGATAGAATGGTCACCACAGGAAACAAGTCTGGATGAGTGAGTCAAATTAGAGTTTGTTTACTTCAGTAGCTTCTTGTCGCTTTTCAGGAACCACCCAGGGTGAGCTTCTGCTAAAGAAAAGGAAAAGGAGCACAGAATTAAAAAGGGATATCTAAGAAAAAATGCTGTTCCTGGCCATTTTAATAAGATTTGAGCCCTCTTCAGATGTACATCCTGAATGCTAAACCCGTAAATAAAGTTTACTGTTAGCTTAATGCTGTGCTTGAGTTAAATGTTCACATGACCCCTTTTCTTCCCTTCTTAAAGCAAAACCGCGTAGTTGGAGCCATGCAGCTTTATTCTGTAGATAGGAAAGTCTCTCAACCCATCGAAGGCCATGCCGCCAGTTTTGCACAATTCAAGATGGAAGGCAATGCAGAAGAATCCACCCTTTTCTGTTTCGCAGTGAGAGGGCAAGCTGGAGGCAAGGTAAGTCTGTGGGTCTCATGGCCGTTCTTCCATCGCTGGGGAGAAGATTTTGGCCTTGGAAGTTGTTGTTTTTTTATACAGATTTAGGCTTTTTGGTACATAGTTTTGAACAGCAGGAATTCCCCTCTCCATTTCAGCAGGCAGCATAAACCATTGCAGCTTGCCTCAGGTGCCTGATACGACTGAAGAACATCCCTTCCTGATAAACAGAAGGCACACAGATCTGAGCAACTGCATGCAAAATATAATTTGCTCTGTTGTTGTATGCTGTTCAGGATCTTGATGATTGGAGGGACACATACATTGGAGTGATAAGTGGGAAGTTTAATTGGGGCCATCATGATTCAGAACTGTGATTTCCTGAGAACACTGGATGTCTGAAGGAACAGGTGATCTTCAATGGAAATCACATCCCAGCCTAGTTGTAATGTCACTTCTTGGCTGATCCTGCGTGAAGCAGTCTAGCCTATTTTCAGCCATGGGACATCCTTCTCTTCTAGTTTGGTAAAGCAATGTATTGGAGAGCATGCACCCCTTTCCAAAGATGGTATCCAATCTGACTTCTTTCTATACAGTTGCATATTATTGAGGTTGGGGCACCTCCCACTGGAAACCAGCCCTTTCCTAAGAAAGCCGTGGATGTCTTCTTTCCACCTGAAGCCCAGAACGACTTCCCAGTAGCAATGCAGGTATGTTATATTATCAAGAAATGGCCTTTATGTGTCACTCCTGAGAACTTTGGAATAGGATGGCAGGCAGTGTAATCAGAAGGGCTTAAATGAATCATGTCAAGACCTTAAAAGAATTAACAAAGCTCAGTACTGCTCATCTCCGAGCTTTGGATTTAACATTGTAGCTGCTTTTTGTGGAACAAAGTTCAGGTGTTTTTGACTTTTGTAGATGTACAGTTGGCCTCCTGATCCTTAGTCTTGCTAGCTTTGCAGTTTGGCACTTGGACAGTTCAGACTTGTATGAACATACTGTATTTTTAATGAACCAGGACACTGCACGCCCTACAGTTTTATAAGAGCAGAGTTCATAATCCTAAAAGTCTGTTTGTGTTCTTTTAAAATATGTTTCTACCCCATGTATCTGTAGCGAAGCATTAACACTGTGTGAGTAAAGTGCAGCGAGCGTAGAGGATGGCCTTGAAGGACAGAGGGAGAATCTGTTACTGGGCAACAATGAGATAAATGAGGCTTGAGCCCCGGCCAAGAAAGTGGTGTATGAAAGCCCTTTAGACAGCCCTCTCCCCTCAAATTTACATGAAGATAAAAGAGGGGGGAAGGGAAGTTCATTCAGACTGGTAAGATTCTGTTACAATAGCTGTTGTAATAGAAGTAGCTTTAGGTCTGCATGGTGTCTGTTTTTTAGTCTGGTCTACCTTATAGGGCTGACACAAAGTCTACTAACATTTTTGAAACCTGGGGGTGGCTGAATAAGATTTGTTTAACACAGGCTACCTATTGCCATGACTAGGACTGAAGTTTGATACAGAACAGGAGACCATGCTAACTTGTTCAGGTTATATCACATACACTGGACTGTCTTTGGTGGCTTTGCAACTACAGTATATTCCTCAGGATGGCTACCTACCATTCTGTTTCTGCTCTTTCTGTTTGCAGATTAGTGAGAAGCATGATGTAGTCTTCCTGATCACGAAATACGGTTACATCCATCTGTATGACCTTGAAACAGGCACCTGCATCTACATGAACAGAATCAGTGGAGAAACCATCTTTGTCACCGCACCACATGAAGCCACTGCTGGAATCATTGGGGTCAACAGGAAAGGACAGGTAATGAGGCTTTAATGTTTGGATGACTTATTTTTCAATAATTATTATTATTATTCAAGAAACGTTATTTTTCTTGAATATTTAGATGACTACTAGAATTCATGTAATAACTTGGAAGTAACTTGGAAGTCCACAGCCAAACCTCTCTGTGCTGTCCACGCCGCAAAATAAGCCGAAAGGGTTGTATTTGAATAGTAGTAGGTCGAAGTTCAGACCTATGGAAGAGCTGCTCGAGCTCTCCTGGCAATATTTAACAGCACTGACCTTGGAAGATCTTTCTTGATCAGATGATACTTGCTTTCGGTTCATGGCCTGCTGTCAACTGTAGGTGGCTGCTTTCCTGCCAGGAATTGGAGCCACCAAACTGGTTCTCTGCTGGTGCTGAGATTTTGGCCTCCTGCAAGAAAATTGAGGGCCTGGAGTTGAGGAGGAGGCGAATCCTGGAGCGTCACATCTCTCATCCAGAAGCTGCCTCTTATCCTCTGTCTCTTGAAAAACACACAAGACAATCCAGGCGTGCAGTCTGTCTCTTGTTAATCTGTTACTGCTGTATAGTCCCACGCCCTCTGATGCCAGAGTGGGCCTCCCAGTAACCCTCAACTGCATTTCGGGGCAAACATGCCCTTCGGTCACCAAACATGTGATAAGGGAGAAAGCACACGTGCTTAAAATGTAAGATGCAACGGAAGTTTGCAGACCCTGTGAGCACCGTGGTGACCTCTGTGATTGCTTTGAGGCAGTTTTTCCCAACCTGATGTCCCCCAGATGTGTGGGGGCTTTGCAGTCATGGAATTTATAGTCCACCACATTTGGATTGTCTCAGGTGGCTGTAAAAGGTTCAGTTTGAGCTACGGCTAAGACTTGCAAGGAGAGCCAGTTGAGCGTAATGGTTAAAGGCACTGGACTAGAAGCCAAGTGAGGAAGCCATGAATGCTAGTCCTGCTTTAGGCACAAAGCCAGCTGAATAACTTTGGGCCGGTCACTCTCTCCCAGCTCTAGGAAGAAGGTAAAGACAACCCATTCCTAAAAAATGGTGCCAAAAAACCTGCCGGGACTTGTCCATGTAGTCACCAGGAGTCAAGACTGACTTGAAAGCACAAAACAAAGAAATTGGCAAAGCATTCAGCGTTGTGCAAAGTAGTAGATTTATCTCTCTTTCTCCTCTCACTGCCCCTCAATTTTTCTACCTTTACTCTTGTTAATTTGGTATGAGGTTGTCATCTTCAGCTGACCTGCTGGATTAACCGAACCACAAAACCTGTTGCCTGATTTGTTGAGTGCAGGGCCAAACGTTGAATTAATCTCTCTACACACACAACCTTATCTTGAGACCCATTGTATTTTTGTTTTTATTTTTGATAGCAACCTGGTGAAGGTTGCTACTGTAAGTCACTTGAATATGGCATTATTTATTTAGGGTCCAGTTCTAGGTAGGGTAGAGGAGGGAGGGAGACCCGATTAATAATCATTTGGTTCAGGATCTATACCTCGTAACCAGTTCAGAGCTGAACAGTGTTCTCATCCAAGAGCATGCTGTCAGTGCTGGAACTCCATTAAGATTAAACAACGCTTTGACAACAGCCATCATCACTCCCCCTCAATCATGTTAATCTGCTACTAAGCTGCTGTAGCTGCTTCAAAAAAAAAAAAAAAAAGTCTGGCATCCGGTTACCAGCCTGGGAAGAGGCAGGCATAGAAAGCTAAAGACAGTTGTTTTTCTAGCATGATGATGGCTGCTTGGCTTGGCAGGGCCTTTTGCATCTTTCTCTTAATAGGGGATTGAATCTAGAACCCAACTACACGCAAAGCATGTGCCCTCGTCACGTTGGGTGCGGCTCATCTTAAAATCTTTGCATCTGAACTCCTCCTTCTGTGAAAGATGCAGGGAAATGCCTTAATCTGAGCTGGGAGTCAAGAGACCACACGGCTTGGTCTGCACATACTGAGGAGAATAACTCTTTGCTATGCCCGGTTGGGCAGGTCTGGTCCTTGAACCCAAATAACTGGCTTAGATGATGTAGTTTCTGAGACACTGTATTAAAGGATCACCTGTTGTGTCTTTTTTTTTTAAAGTCTGAATAAAGTCTAGTCTTGACAGCAGAAGAATTGGAGAAGAACTAGTTGCCCAAAGGATGTGCCTACCCTGAAAAGACCCCAGCCAACCTCAGCTTCTGTTATATTATGCAAAAATAAGGATCCAGAGCAAAGCTGTATCTTCAGATCTTCCAACTGGTGGCTCTGTATAGTTCTGAACAGATTGGATGTAGATGACTGGTGTTGGCACGATAATCTTTGCCCTCCTTCTGGGCTTCAGGTCCAAAGATAAGCAATACCTGATTTTGCACAGAGTTCCCTCTCCAACCAAAGGCAGTTCTGTACATGGCACAAAACTAGGCAGATGAGCCCTGCCCTGCCCTACTTCATGCAGCAAGGGTGCGGAGGCCTTGTGGCGTGCACTTGCCCATTAAGCGGCTAGCAAATGGGGATCAGATACGTTCGCTCATGAGGGGAGCTTTCTTCATCTAGAAAACATTTGTGGAAGTGGGAACTTAGAATGCAATTCCATGCATTTTGGACTGCCTGAAGCTTTCATCGTCTCCATCCTCAGCCTCCTTAGAGCCATCGTAGAAAAATGTTGTGCAGGGTGTCTGTTAACCAAAATTATAGTGGATATTTCTCGAATTCGAGAGGTCCTAGTGATGAGCTTCGTTCCTTCTCTCTCCCTGCATTTAGGTGCTTTCGGTGTGTGTTGAGGAAGAGAACATCATTCCTTACATCACCAACGTGCTGCAGAATCCCGACCTGGCGCTGCGAATGGCTGTCCGTAACAATCTTGCTGGCGCTGAAGAGCTCTTTGCCCGGAAATTCAATGCCCTTTTTGCCCAGGGGAGCTACTCAGAAGCGGCCAAAGTAGCAGCAAATGCCCCGAAGGTATGGAAGAGGTTTACGCGATCCACACATATGCTTTGTCTTGTGCTTTTCTAGTAGCCAGGTCTGAATCACTTGTTCATAGCATGCCTGTTTCTTTTTAGCTTGTTTTTCTGGCACTGATGCATTAGGGAGCATCGTTCGTTGTTGTAGTGTTGTTGCTTGCAAACCTGGGTGTGTGACCTGAGGATGACCAGCTGACTTCTTGGCCACGTGCCCATTGGTTGCAGTTGCCCTGACTGATTCTTGTGCACATGGCTCGGTATGCACAATTAAACAAAATTGCAATTGGTCTTTTTTCTGCACTTTTTCGCAGTGGCTCAAAATATTAGGGTATTCTCCGTTCACTGGCCAGACTTTAGAAGAAGTTCGTTCTGAACTAGACTGGGAGACACGTGCCTCTCCCTGCTGCCTCCTTAGCCAGCTGTCGCACATTCCAGGTCAGCTATGCAAGGCTGGGTAATAGTCTGAAGACTTTTCAGCCATGAACTCTTCTGTGGTAGTCTTCATCCAGGTGGAAGTGTGCATCTGGGAATAGAGGACCAAAAGGAACACCTTGGCTTTCCTCCATGATAGATTATAGTCGGATGTAGTGAGAACGCGAGCTAATCCTCTTGCTTCGGGTGAGGAAGGCAATTTAACATCTCCAAGGGCTGCGTCCTTTTGTTTGGAAACAAGTTAGCTGTGAACTACCTGTTTGCCTCACCAAACGGTTTGGGGTATTTGGTAGTTCTGCAGCGGGACCGAAGTTGTAATCAAGATGGTTGGTCACAAAACCACAATCTGCTGCTGCTTTTGGGGAGACCTGATACTCCTGATAAGAGGGGCTTAGTCCTGTCATGTCTGTCCAGTTTCCTACCCAAGTCATTCATTCCCCTGGCGGTGCCCCTCCAATCCTTCTATTGCCTTCATGGCTGCCATTAGATTCAGCAGAAGGTCTTTGATATTGCCCTGCCCCTTTACATTCATGATTTTTCCTCACTGCCCATTAACTTGGTCCTTTCAGTTCCAGCGCCTGCATTCCCAAAATATTCTTCCCTTCCTTTGCTTCCTTATGTGCTTGGAACCATCTCCCAGAAAAGCTGTATTCATACCACCTATTACTTCCTTCAAATCTTTATCTGTGAAACCTTACGTGCAACTTTCTTCTTATGCTCCTTGTAACCAGACTTATAGCAAAGCTGATTTGTGGGCATCTGAAACCATCACATAATTCCTTTCCTGTTTACTCCCTGTCTCTGATTCTCTTCCCTTCCTCCATTTCCTCTGGGCTGAACTTGGAATTGCAGCCTGCTGTGTTTACCAAAAAGGCATTAATGAAACAGTAATTTATTGTCTGTCTTGATTGCAAAAAGCCATAAGCATGAAGGGTGATTGTAGAACAACGTTCTGTAAGGAGTTTGTGGGATTTCTTGCAGAAGAACTGTTGCTGCTAGACAGTAGGCATCTGGTGTGGTCTTTAATAGCTCCGTATTTCTAGAATGTGGGCTCATATTCTATATTTGAATAACTGACCAACTTTAGTATGGTCACAGAATTGTATGCAATTTGCTCGGAGGATTTGCAGGTCCAGAGAAAGTGTGAACGCATCTCTGAATAAATTAAAAAAGAGAAGAGAAAATAGAGAGGAATACATTATAAATGCAAATACTAACCTAACCCTGTTTAGGTAATCAAGTCACCAGATGTAAGTCTGCAAGTTACCTCAGTCAGATTGCTATACCAAAATTTCAAAGAGCTCTGACGCTTACACGCTGCAATGCCTTGCACACTGCAGCTTTGGGAAGAAGATTCCAGAAAATCCCATATAACAAAAGCCGTTATCATTGTAATAAATCAGGAGCTACTGAAACAACAGCCCACGCACTTCTTTAATATCACTCTTACTACACCCTGCAATAAAAACTTACTACTTTCTGAATATTTTCTCAGTATTCAGGTTGTGCTCTACTTTTTCTCAGATATCTTTTAGTTGATCAGAGCGATATACTCTTGTCATGTTGCCAAATAGCTGGAAGATCTGCCAGGACTTTGCTAGAAACAGTTTGATTTGACTACATTTTTTATATTTACCTAATTTTCCTTTTTAGACCCTTTTTAAAAAATTCCGTCTTGTTTCATTAATCTTATTTTGTTACATTGTTTTGGTCACTGATCAGATTAATAAAGTACTTTGACTAACATGCAGGAGGAAGTTCAGTAGCAGAGGAAATGTTCTCTTACTATCTTACAACAGATGACTGGGTGTCTCTAAACATAAAGCAGAAGGATGTAGCTTTCTTTTGCTAAGAGCTACACTTGGACTTTGGTGATCTAGGAGGTCCATGTTCAAAAATTAGGGGGACAAAGAAGTGGGTGGAGACAGAGCAAAAGTTAAATTAGATTTAGGTGGTTTTTACTTTTTTTTTTTCCCCCCCCTTTGAGCCATTGTTGACTTCTGGTGATTGCCTAGACAAGTCCCTGCAGTTTTCCTGGCAAGATTTCAGAAGTGGTTTGCCCTTGCCTTCCTCCGAAGGCTGAGAGAGAAGGACCAGCCCAGAGTCACCCAGTTGGCTTCATGCCCAAGGTGGGACTAGAACTCACTGTCTCTTGGTTTCTAGCCTGGTGCCTTAGCCACTACACAAAACTGGCTCTTTTAGTTTATATTTAATTAAATGTAATGGTAAGCAAAAACAAAGGCTTGATATACATTGAATAATTAAATACAATGAATAGTATTACTTCCCATGTGTTGAATAATGTTCCACCTCTGTTACACTAAAAACTGTAGTTGTGGTAAGTTCTTGGGGCTGCATCTAAGAATTTCAGAGTTGTGCGTTTGCTGAGGCCTCAGGTTATGCGCTCCCTAGCTGTGTTTCCTAAACTTGGCATCTTCCAAATGTGTAGAACAATTCCCAGAATTCTCAGCAATGGTCAGACTGGCTAGGGAATTGTGGGAGTTAAAACCCACACATGAAGAAGTTGCCAAGAGTGGAAAGTATTGGTGTAAAGGTTCTGCAAACAGTTAATCCACCTGTGGTTTTGGCCCTTTTCGACCAATTTGCAATGGGTAGATGATGTATTTTATCCACCTCTTTTTTTTTTTTTTAAAGGGAATATTGCGCACTCCAGACACTATCCGCAGGTTCCAGAGTGTCCCAGCACAGCCAGGTCAGACTTCCCCCCTGCTTCAGTATTTTGGAATTCTGCTAGACCAAGGCCAGCTGAACAAATACGAATCCTTGGAACTCTGTCGGCCTGTCCTTCAGCAAGGACGCAAACAGCTCCTTGAGAAATGGTTAAAAGAAGATAAAGTAAGTCATGTGTTTGGCAGGGCATCTTTAAAGAGGGGGGTGACTTAGTGTCACCGACAGCCAGAATTGAACCTTTCTGATGGATTCAGTCTCTCCAACTTTGTGCAGATAGCACCCCTCTATCTCCAAGCAAATGGAAATGGTTTTAGTAGGGGTTAGATAGCTCTTGATGGATAATTTTGATCGTGGGATTGGTGTCATGGCAGATAGCAAGTGAAAGATGCCAACTCACAGATGGCAGCTTCCTGGCAGCAGTGTATTGGGCAGAGAAGGCATTGGGCTCCTGGCTGGAATTTCCTGGCAAATGAAGAGAGAGGAAATTGCCTTTTGGATCTTTGTCTGAATTACATTATATTGCCCTTAAACGAATGTCCTCTACCTCAACTGTCACCTGTTCCCAGCTGGTGGAGGAATCTTGCCTGCAGGCATATTGTGAGTTATGTCCGATGCCAAAATAAAAATAATCCTTTTTCTCCCCTCCCAGTGTTCAAAATCTCACAAGACTATATCTCTCTTGTCCAAAATCTTGAAAGACTTGGGAAAGCTAAAATTGTTATAAGATTCTAGTACCCTGCACTAGCTTCTGACCCCATTGATTACAGTTTATCAAGTCTTTGTGATTCTGAACTTTAATCCGGATTTGAAATATCCAAACATTTGTTACACGTTTTTTTGAACACCAGGGAGTGGGTGGTGGGGCTGGAATCTTTAAAAACTTCATCTTTTTTTAAATAAGACAACAAGGGTCTTCTTTTGTCATCCATAGCCACAGCTTTAGGATTACATACCTCATTCAAAAGTTGCATTGGGACAATGCTTGTCTAATGAATACTCTGGACTAACTGCATCTTAAAGCAGCTGTTTTTCCAGATATTTTTTGGTTAAAGGATTTAATTTAATCATTTTGCCTACCAATAGCTTTTATTAATAACCTAACTCCTTGGAGTCAAAGGTTACCCAACTCCGTTGCTGGACTTCTGAATTCAGTTACCTCCCAAGAAAGCTTTTAACTAATCATTACTTTAGAAAACACTGTAAACCTTCATCCAGCTAGGAAGGTTATTTGTGTGGCAAGCTTTATTCTTTAGGTAAATAACTACACCGACAAAAACTAGTAAGCGCAAATAGGCAACACAACGTAATGTATGCAAGGTGCCAGGCTATGGGTGTAAGATTTTATGCTTGAACCAGTGTTGCTATTATAGTGATTATAAATATATCATGATGTATAATTGATTTTATAGGGCTTGTACAATCTTCCCTTTTGTTTTAGCTTAAGTATTAATTTGAATTGGGGTGGGGCCACACCTCATTTTGGGACACGTCATAAATAAAATGTTTGTACTTATAATTCAGAATTATAACATAAACAATCTGAAGTATCAGATTGGGATGGGTTGTTGGCTAACAACCCGCAATCCTCGCTTAACAATGGCCATGGGGACTGCCGGGACTCTCATCGCTAAGCTATCGTTTAGTGACAGAAATTCCAGTCCCCATTGTGGCCGTAAGTCAAGGACTACCTGTATTGCCTGCAGTTTAACTAACAGCCTTTATTTTATGAACTTGATTTCAAGATTCAGCTTGATTTCTCACTTTTCCCCCTCTCTTCCCAAAGACTGAAAGGAAAAAAAAAACTGAGAAAAACTGGGTTTCTGAGTGCAGGACTTCTCTTCGTGACAAATGTACTTAGCTATTTTAGTTTTAGATTGAATTAGCTTAAGGAACCACCTGCTTAAATCTCAGTCTGCCTTCATTCTTGACTGGGGGTTTATTGCTTGACCCTTTGGTGACTTGTCAAGGGTGGATCTTCTGAAAGAGATTTTGGTTTCCCCTTCTAACTTCACCTTCCTTGGCAAAGTGAATCTGTGGCCTTTCCTCTTGGTTCGCTTGGCATGATGAAGAGGACCAACTGCATTGAGCACTGCCCCATGTTTAGTTTGTTTTTACTATGGACATTGATCAGAAGTGCCACTCATTGCTGAATGTCATGCCCCTATAATCCTTAAGATGTTCTAGCAATGGGGCATAGATCCCATAGCACAGGAGCTGGCACTTGAAAAATATCACATACTGTAGCAAAATGAATGTTATATTTTGGAGGTTTCTTTAGGATTCACATTTCCTCAACTGCTTGTCACATTGACGCACATGGGAAAGATTCTCTACTGCAATTATTTTATATACTGTATTCAGCCTCTTACTGGGTATTTTTAAAAACAATCTCTGTAATGCTTGCTTTTAAACAGTTGGAATGCTCTGAAGAATTGGGAGACCTTGTGAAGTCTGTGGACCCAACATTGGCCCTGAGTGTCTACCTACGGGCTAACGTTCCCAATAAAGTCATTCAGTGTTTTGCTGAAACGGGACAAGTTCAGAAGATTGTGTTGTATGCAAAGAAGGTAATTAGTTCTTCTGAAACAGGAGTCATCTACTGTATCCAAGTAGCTCAGGAAATTGAGGGTCTCTACAAATAGTAGAAGTTGTTTGGTAAACAGATTCTCTATCCAGAAACCTGGCCTGTAGTTCAATATACATCCAATACAAAATTTGTGTGTGGACTGTTGCAACGTGGTCTGCATGTAGCTGCCTTTGAGGACCACTCAGAAGCTATGGGCTTGCTTTGTTTTGATTCTGTTCAGCTAAAATCTTGCTTTGGTGAGAAAGGTGAAAATAATTTTTTATTTAAAAACCCCTGGAAATAGTACAGGCAGATGAGTTCAGATAATAGGAAAGATAGCAGAACAAAAGATGATGAGATAGAATCAGCACTGTCTTTGGAGTGGTTAGAAGAATGAAGAATGAGTGAAGTCTGTTGATCTGGCAGGCTGTGGCAGGCAAACCCTCGGGAATGAAGCTTAATTTGAGCAGCTCACATTCTAATACTCACATAATCTTAATGCTTGGTCAGCCCAAAATAATCCTGATTCTAAATTCCAGGAAGGCAAGTTCCAGTTAATGTCTAGGAAACAAATATCTTAACTGTAAGAACAGTTTGGTAGTAGAAGCAGAAATTGAGGGAGGTGTTGGATTCTTCTTTGATGAACATGTTTAAGCATAAGAACAGAAACCATGCCCTGCTGGATTGGACTTCTGGCCCATCTAGTCCAGTAGCTTGTTCTCACAGTGGCCAACCAGCTACTCCAGGAAGCCCTCTAGTCTCCCAGCAGATGGCCTTCAGAGGCAGTCCCACTGCCATCCAGATTAATAGCCATTGATCCCCATGACTTCCATAAATTGGTCCAACCCTTTTTTGAAGCCAGCCAAGCTTGTAGCCAGGACCACATCTTGTGGTAGATCCTGGGCATCCACTAGTCAGAAGTCTTTAATCTTAATCCCTGTATTAAATAGTCCAGTGCATTCAGTGGTCCGTTCTGATTCTGTATTCAAAATTTCTGGGCCACATTACTGTTGCAAATCGCTTATAAAACATAGCTTATGAAGAACCACAACAGAAGTGGAGGCCATGCTCATAAGACATTTTAAGGAAGAATTAAGGCACTTCATATACAAACTAAAAGTGGTAGGAACAGCACTTAACAAACTGAAAAATAAGGACCCCCAAGGCTGGTTCTGAGCAAGACATCTTGGGTTCTGTGAGCTCTGCTAGGAGATGGATGAATCAGGGTGAGTTTTTTCAATTTTCATCTGGAATGTGACCAAGCCAGAAACAGACATTCTCAGGACTCTCTCTCTCTCTCTCTCTCTCTCAAGCACACAAAGTAAAGCAAAGCTAGTAAAATCTTACTCTTTGTGCATGCACACCCCTTTCCTAGGTTGGCTACACTCCAGACTGGATCTTTCTCCTGAGAAATGTAATGCGGATCAGCCCGGACCAAGGACAGCAGTTTGCCCAGATGTTGGTGCAGGATGAAGAACCTCTGGCAGATATTACCCAAGTAGGGAAACATCTTGAAAGAGGGAGGACGAAAGTTAGGTCTCTCTCAGCTTGCTCCTGCAAGCTGAAATAAATGGGTTTATCCTGAAGATTCTTGGTTTCTTATAAAGTCTTCCTCCTGCTGCATCTAAAGAAGCATTTCAGTGCTTCCAATAATCCTGTTTTCACTTTGATGTTATTACAATTTCCAGTCATTGACTTCTTTGTTCTTTATACATGGTTGAGTGATGCTAGCAGGAAATTTGGGGTGTTGCAATTCCAACAACATGTGTGTGTCCAGTTGTTGAAGATTACTAAAAACGTAGAAAAGGTAACATTAAGCAAGCATGATAAGCATGGTCCAGAGCATTCAGAATGTGGGAATGTGATGATTCTTAACAATTTTGATGCATAGAGTGGCCTGTCAGCCCAGTTTGACCCATAAATAGAGTGACTATATAAAACTTATGCAAGTTCAGCTTTATGATGGGGTGTAAAACATGGCAGCTAGCCATTTGCGCATGAGCAAAATGGTAGGTGATGTGTTTGAAAAGGCCCCATTTTGTGCTCAAAACACGTGTTTCAAATGCAAACAGCTGTATTAAAGTTGACAAACTTCCAGTAAGATCCAAACTGTCTGTTTAAAAATGTTTCAAATTTGAAATGCTTTCCACACCTCTAATGAGAGGGAGATCAGAAACACATTTGGAGCCTTAAACATGGATGCTTTGTTTGAATTAGATAATCCTGTATTGCTGGAATGTTTGAAACAAAAGTTATACAAGGGTTTATCTACTTTGGGTGGGAAGAATCTAAAACAAATGCGCGTTCTCTGTTTCGCCTTTTTTTTTTTTAAACAGATAGTAGATGTGTTTATGGAATACAACCTGATCCAGCAGTGTACAGCTTTTCTCTTGGATGCCCTGAAAAACAATCGCCCATCTGAAGGGCCTTTGCAGACTCGCTTGCTCGAAATGAATCTCATGCATGCACCTCAGGTAGGTTTTGCACCTGGTTCTGGAGAGGATTTAGTTACTCTACTTCCCACACTTCCCTGTTACAGGGATTTGGAGTGATATTTGGATGCAGAGCTCTTACAAAGAATCCCTTAAAATGGGGATTTCAGTTCTGCTCATTCTAGCCTTTTAAACAAGCTGAGAACCTTGTGATACTCATCCTTTCCCTGTAGGCAGAAACTTCCATTTTCAGGTGGAAGTGAAACTTCCGGAACCAGATACTAGTACTTTCATAATGATTAGTTTTCCAAAAATTTGTTCTGGCCTAAGGGTTCTTTTTTTTTTTTTTTTACCTTAAAAGCTCATCAAAGTGAAATCTAGCACTAAAACTTGCAAAAAAAATTATTAAAAATATCTTCTTGTGGCTGCCATTTTTGATAGGTTACAAAAAATCCCCAGTTCCCCTAACCAAATTTGATATATATAAACTGGAAGCATTTTTTGGATACTCTTCTAAAGCCATGTATGAGCAGGCCTGCAAGCTTAGCTTGGTTAAAAAAAAGGTTGGCAGTGGATATAGGTAGTCCTTGACTTACAACCACAGTTGGGACCAGAACTTCCGTTGCTAAGTGATGTGGTCGTTAAATGAGTCACAGCCAATTTTACAACCTTTTTGCAGCACTCATTAAGCAAATCATGCGGTCATTAAGCAAATCTGGCTTCCCCCATTGACTTTGCTTGTCAGAAGCCCCCTGGGAAGGTCACAAATGGTGATCATGACTCGGGGATGCTGCAACCGTTGTAGATGCATGGGGGTTGCCAAGTGCCCAAATTTTGATAGCATGACTATGGGGATGCTGCGATGGTCATGAGTGCAAGGACTGGGTGTGAGTCAGTTTTTTCAGTGCTGTCATAACTTTAAATGGTTGCTAGATGAATGGTCATGAGTCAAGGACTACCTGTAGTGAAAAGTATTTATTTTTCTTGTAACCAATGGCCTTACTTACAGAGGCTGCTGTGAGAGATAGTGGGGAGGCTAGGAAGAACAGTATGGAAGGGAGAATAAACAACTAAGAGTAGCTTATCTCATAAAGGGTAGCTCAACCCAGGTGGCAGGAAAACTGGGGAGAGGCATTTCAAATTATTCAGAAGACTTAATGAATTAACTATAAGTGAGGCTTGGAAATTCTTGCAATTCCCAACATTCTATTATCACCCCAAGACTAGCATTAAAGCCCCCACCAAAGTTGTGCTGCTTTGATCGTGCACATGGGGCTTGACAGTCAAACTCTGAACATGCTAGAGGTATCCAGGCATTAATTTCTGGTGCAGCTTCTTTGCCAAAGATCTGTATCGAACAAGAGTTCCAGTTTTAATTGCACACTCTCTTTCAGGTTGCTGATGCCATCTTGGGGAATCAAATGTTCACCCACTATGACCGAGCCCACATTGCTCAACTGTGCGAGAAAGCTGGTCTCCTCCAAAGGGCCCTGGAACACTTCACTGACTTGTACGACATCAAGCGAGCCGTAGTTCACACTCATCTTCTCAACCCTGAGGTACAGTGGCAAAGGTGTATTTATTTTATTGCTGTGCTGCACATCTTGTGACTCTTGGCTGTTCACAGCAGTAAGACAACATGACAATCAAATGTACACGGTGAATTAAAGTTAAAATTAGGTTAAATTAAAACCACATAGTATAGTCTTGACAATGTCATAATTCACCCCAAAGTCCTCTGGAATAATTCAGTCTTAATCAGTTTCCAGAAGTCTGATGATAATGGACCAATCTCACCACTCAAGAGAAGGCCATTCTGGAGAACTCTGACCATCGCTGAAAAAGATCTAACTTAAGTTCAGCTGCATTTGGAAACCATTATTCTAGTTATAGATGGCAGTACACCAAATGTCCACACTTATGTATTTGTTTGGTTTATCTCCGCCACAATCAATAGAGACCTTCAGTTGTTTACATCCAAGACAAGACAATAAAACATGCCGCAGTAAAAATTAAACCAAAGTATAAAAACAATCTAGCCAAGCTCCCAAAATACACACATTCAACCCATAAGTAATGGCATTGTTTTGTACCCCAAAAGTGCTCTGAGAAAGCTTGGTTTTTAACAGCTTCTGGAAGGCCAGAGCTGTGGGGCCGATCAAGTTGCCGTTGCCATCCCAGCTGAGAACTCTGGGAGTTAAAACCCCATCCCCGCTGGAAGGCTTCCTGTTGGGGGAGGCCATCCCCATGCATTACTCCAGATCTGCACATTTCTGCCATACAGAAACTTTACAAGAGCAGCCGAGATCCCTTCTAACGATGCCTTTAACTTGCAGTGGCTGGTGAACTACTTTGGCTCCCTTTCCGTCGAAGATTCCCTGGAATGCTTACGTGCAATGCTTTCAGCAAACATCCGCCAGAACTTGCAGATATGTGTCCAGGTTGCTTCCAAGTACCACGAGCAGCTTTCCACCCAGTCGCTCATTGAACTCTTCGAGTCTTTCAAGAGTTTTGAAGGTAGGGTGGCTGGGCTCCCAGGCCGCACTCAGATTCTGAATCCGTACCACGGACTGCCCTTGGTCCATCTGGCTGTCGATTGAGAGGAGTACATTTCTGGAAGCCATCTGGCCAGGACGTAGCCCTTATCCTCTTTGACTGCTAGAAACAGGCAGATGGGGGGGTCTCAAGATGGTGGCCAGGACTGCCCAGTTGAAGCTGTGCTCCTGTGTAACATGCTGTGATTGTGGCTGCCAACTTGACCTTTGTGACCCTCCTCCTACAGGCAGCCTTTCTGGCAGCTTCATTCAGGAAGAGAATACCCTGCTGGGGAAGGGTCTTTTAAAAAAGGCTGCAGAGATATCCATCTTGGGTCAGTGGATGTAAGTGTGACTAATCAGGGCTTGGATTGGAGGCTGTCTGCCTTGAGTTACCTGGTTAAGAACGCCCGGTTTAAGGACGACCCATAGTTAAGAACGGAGCCTATTGTAGCAAAATTTGAGCTACATACCCAATGGTTTGAGTTCATTCCACAATACTACTTATACAGTATTATACAATAATCCTGTTCTGGCTTAACCTACATATTCGACTTAAGGATAGACCTTGGGAAAAGAACTTGTTCTTAAACTGGGGAATATCTGTGTTCTATATATACTGTGATCAGTATAATAGGTAGGGTATGTAATGCTTTACTGCATAAATAGTGACATTTTTTCTGTAAGAACAATAATTTTCTGCTTTATTTCTAAGAAGTTCTGAGCAACGTACAACAAAGCTAGTAATTACATTACTGTAAGTCTCAGAGCTTCAGATATTGAAACAGCAGCAGTGATACAATGGTGCAGTAGTAATCTGTGGTTTTTTTTTTTTAAATGCAATCAGAAGTGTTGATTTAAAATGACTCTATAGCCAGCCAGCCATGGCTTGGGGCCGGGTTTGTTTATAACACTGTCACCGAAGTGTGAAGAATTTAAAAATGAGGAACATTGGCAATCCATATAACAAATGATCCATCAACTTTTAATACCAGAACCTGCAAACTTGAAACTGATTGTTAAGAAGGCCTTCCAAGAATAAAAAGATGTGTCTATACAGCACTTTATGATAACTACTAATTCCAGATACTTTTTAAAATAAATTTTATTAAGTTTTCCATGAAAGTCAAAATACAGAAAAACCAAGACAAGGGGGGAAAAGAGGGAAAAAAAGAAAGGGGGGGGGGAACACAAGGAAAGAAAAGAGTAGCTTCCCACATTCCTTGGATATATGCATGAAGAATATATTCTCTTCTTACTCTAATATCTAAAAATTTACATAGTAAAACATAGTTTTGAATCTAATATTCAGAAGGAATCCTAAAAATTAATCTGAGTAATACATATCATCTGTACAAGCTATTTCATTAAGTGTAACATCAATCAGCAAATCCCAAAATTAAGGTTGGATTTTTTTGAGTATCAAGCAAAAAGTCTAAGAGTGATTTCCAATTAGAGACAAAGTTGGACAGTGCCCTGTCTTTGAGCAAAGTAGTCAGTTTCGCCTTCTCAGCCAATTCCATTAATTTCAATGGCCGTTCTTCAGCAGCAGAAGGTATTTGCATATCTTTCCATTTTTGCGCATATAGAAGTCTCACTGCAGTTATCATATGAAGAAATTAATTCCTGTGTTGTCTTTCCAGTTGTTTGTCCATCATACCTAAAAGAA